GCGCGGGCGGGGAGGGCGCGGGGAGCCGCCTCAGAGGGCGGTGTGGCGCTGCCTCAGCGAGGGCACGGCTGGAGGAAGGGTCCGGGGGCAGAACTGGAGGGTGCTGAAGCAAACCCCCTCCCCCCCGGGGTGGGGAATGGCTGATGGGGGTCTCTGTGTCCTCCCTCTGCAAGCGGGAGCAGCCAAGCCTCGCCCTCTGTCAGGCAACGCGGGATGGCAGGGTTCCTCTCGCTCTCTAGTTTCTCGTCTTCTCTTCCCATCGGGGTTTCCCTTGTGTCTCCCATTCTTAGGCTGAACTTTGGTACCTGTCAGCTGGTCCTGCCTGCCGGTCCCACCAAGTGCTGGCAGTAATCCCCAGTTAAGCCACAGCTAAAATCAAAGTGCTGTTTATCCTCGTGACAGAAACAGTCACTGAAGAAAAATGTCCTTAAACCTGCAAACATTACATACAGCCACTTTACCTATACACGCAATCTGTTCTGCAAGGCCTTTTTAACCTCTTCACAGGCTGGGTAGCTCTGCTGAACAACTCGGTTTGAATTCCTGTGTTTTTTTCCATCTCTCTCTGAAATCTCCCCAAACAACTCCCAGGCGACGGCTGAGGGGCTGCTCCTGCGTTCCTTCCTTTCCACCTCCTTTTCTCTGCGTCTTTCCCTCATACTAATTTACTGTAAGAATATACTAGGTTAAATTTCCCCAAATCAGCTCAACATTGAATATTCAGAAATGGCTAAAGCTGGTATGGCTATGGCTCAAGGCCAAGCAGAAGGCAAAGCTGAGGTAGACGGACTGATTTAGCTTTTGTTTCTTCGTTTGGAAATGAGCACCACTGCAAACAACCGTAATAGTCAGCTTGGCTATTCAAAATTAGCAGTATAGGTGGGGTTTGCTCTTTAATATTAACTGGTTTTTGCTGCCGTGACCAAATACATGAAGAACATCACACTCAACATTACGAGAAACCTCTTGGGAAGACTCAGTTCAGAAACCCCCCAAATAAATTAAGGTCTGGTACTCAGTAAATACTTGATCTTGCTGTGCAGAAGCAACAGAATCTGCAGATGTTACTGAAATGCTTTTGCAGACAGGGGAAGAAATATATCTGTAATGGACACCAACTAACTTACCAATCCTTGTCACCATTTCTTTGTCAGGAGAGAAATGCAATTCCTTCCTTCCTAGCAAAGAGCAACTCCAAACCTACCTTTTACTATCCCACCCCATGAAAGGGAAGCCTTACAGGACGCATTTCAGGGAAGCTGTGCCACCAACACCCCTGGCTTGGAGCCTCCTTGCAGCTCCAATTCCACAAGCCCATTAATGGTACTTCACTGACCAAGGCGCAGTGAAGGCGAAGTAAGGACATCCCCGAACCCCACAGCCTTTGAATCATGTTCCCAAGAAAGAAATGCCCCAATAGAAGCACCTCCACTGCTCCTTCCACACTGCCACGGCTGTCTGTTAACCTTGACTACAGTGGCCCTCAGTAAGACAAAGAAAACACCCTTTGCCTTCGCCTGTTGGATGATGCAAACCCACTTGCTGACCTTTCTGGGTGAACATTTTTCTAGTGTGAATGGGCCAGCTATGATCTCACTACCTTGTCAATGAAGAGGAAGTGGGGAAAGCCTTTTCAGTGTTTAATCAAAAGAGGGCTTTTATGCAGTCTGACATCAGGGGAAAACACAAGACGGCTTTCCAACCGCACTGCAGGAACAGCTGAGAAGGCTCTCCAAAACCGCTCCCCCTACCTTTCCAGCGACCCTCACTCTGGGCCAGCTACTTAATGGCATGAGCAGACATTCAGCTCTGAATGTAGGATTGGCAAAAGGTTCATAAAACCATCAATTATATCAAAGCTACAAGAGGATCTGACTCTGGAGGGCATAAATATGGATTCTGTTCAGAGATTTCTGGTGTGACAGTGGGGTCAGCCTACAACCTTTACAATGAACATCCTGTTCCTGCTTGACCTCTTGTCCTTTTTTTCCCTTCTACTTAATGACTGTTTGGAGCAGTCTTGGAGCTTGGAAAAAAAAAAAGTCCTCCAAAGCTGGCTGACGTATATTGATATTGCTGGTGGCAATATATTTACACAGCCACAAAAGCAGCTGCTCAGCTGAGCCTACTTTTAGCTTGCGCCCTACTAAAATGAATGCAAATCTGAAAGCACTAAAACCGTATCAGTGGACTGAAGGAGAAACTAAGATTTCTTCAACACCGTGGTCCCAGCAACGACATCCTGCAAAGCTGCGGCCGGTAGTGGAGTTTGCAGCTTCTCGGGAACCCTGGGTGTCCCCAGCAGCAGGGGACTTCGACAGCCAAACCCCTCTCTACCTATAACCTTCCCCATCACTGCGGGGGTAGGAACAAGCACTGGCTTGGCAATGTCACACACACAGGTACCAACAGCACGTTCACAATACACGGCTCAACTCTTCGCTGGGCATCTCCAGCTGCTTTGTACATATTAGTTGCTACACAAAATTAACTGGAAGCTGTACCAAACCCAAAGGCAACAGCGCTAGATATGATAACCTGAGGCACTTTGCTGTTCAGCTCCTACTCTGAACGGCTTAGAATTGTAGTGCTTCAACTTCCCCAGTTTGTTCTCAGCCCTCAAAATAATTACTGATCTCAACTTTTTCCTCATTTTTAATTGTTTCTGCAAAGTGTATCCCCCAAAGGAAGGGCAGCAAGCAAGTGTAAAATTATTTTTTTAAAGACTGAGGAAATCTGTTCAGATGTTTCTCCAGCTTTTTTGTGTGTGAAAACATTTTTCAGCTGTTCAAAAATGAAAAGAAAAAGAAATCCTGCTCAGATGCGAGCCTGTGTGTATGAAAAACAGTGAACTAGCATAGATGCAGTATTTTGTACTTAACGTGGGTTAACAGTACCTTTCTCAATAAGAAATCCAATGCAAGTACAGTGATTAGTACGTTGTGCTGGGCAATTTTAGGTTCAAGAATGTGTTGGGTTTGGTTTTTTTTTTAAATTCCGCTCTTAAAATACTCAGGGCAACAAGAACTCAGAGTCTTAACAACATAAATGCTAAGTGTAAGTCTAATCTCCTACACGCAGATGTAAATCAACATTACTTGTTTAAATACTGATAAAAATTAGAACACAGTGAAGCCGAATGAACATAAGAAATATTTCACATAATATTTACTGGAAAATTGCAACAGGGATTTTGTCTAATGAGTAAATACAGCATGAAGCCGTTGAGTCTTCTATCCCTGGGGTAAGATAATTTGAAACACATTTTTTCAGATCAAAAGTGTTATGTTGTCAAATATAAAAGCCCAATTTAGGCTGCATAATATTTAATTAAGAAAACAGCATTCCATACTGTGATTTATTTATTTTTTTAAGTCCAATGCCCCTTGAGTCATTTTATCTTCTTAACTTTAAGACTTGTACTGTGCGAGATCATGGGAAAGACACAATCAACTTTATTTTCATTACAAAAGAAGGAAAACCTAAAGGGAATCCTGTGAAAATCAAATCCAAACCCAAGATTTTCCAATGATCATGTAACTTGAAAAGACCATCTGCTCACTCAAAAGGGAGGGGAGCATTGTATCTCACCCTCCGGCTACGAGGATGGATAATAAAGACCCGGGTCATACAGAACAGCCACAAGAACGCCCAAAGTTTTGAGACTTCAGAGGACCCTCCTGGGGCTCTGCAGCCACCATGTGCTCACCTTGACGCTTCTGTGATGTATCCGCGACGGCTGGCATTTCACACTGCTGGTGTTGCAACAGCCAGTGCAACGTTTCACCTCCACGCAGGGTGGCCATATCAGGAAGTTGGCAGAGGTGGGATCAATCTGACTCCGAGGTATCTCGTATATAACCGTCCGTGTTTTGCAGACAGCCGGGATGGCTTCCTCTGCGAACACAAGAAATTCACACTTCCAGGTGAGCAGCTGCTCTCACCTCAGAGCACCCAGATACTTTACACCATCCACTTACGGGTGTCACCCTTAGCTGGCGGGTTGAGATGCTGTTCTCAGTTCCCGTTGCTGATTGGCAAAGTCGGTGCTGAGTACCGCTTGCCTACCACTAAACTGCGCGTGCAGGCCTTGAGAGAAGCTGGCCTCACTCCCAAAAGCCCAGCCCTAAAATGAAGGTACACAATGGCCCGGCTCCCAACATAGCTCAGAGCACAGACCATTAGATAAGACAGTTCTGGCTCTTTAGAAGTGACAGCAAGCCAGGGGCTTCTCCGGATTAGATGACCCTCTAGTACAGCTGCATAGCCACTGCACAACAGCAGCTGCTATGTTACAATATCGGGGCCATCACTGCACCCACATATTATCACACAAACGTGCAATACCTGGCAAATACCACCACAGAAGTTGCACTGAGGATATTTATATCACACCCACATTGGCCGAGGTGGGAAACAACCTGCGCCAGCTTGAAACTTCCGAGTCTTGGGTTTCTACTTCCAAAACCTTAACATCCCTTCATCAGGGAGTCTGGTCCATCAGCCATCCCAAAGTGCAACTGTCTTTTTTTTGAATGAAGTTATTAAAGCTTTGTACATGCTGGGTTTTATTTAATTTGTTATTGTTTGAATGAGGCAAAACCACAAGATTAGCATGACCGAAGAACCTGCCGTGTATTTTTCAGCTAAACCAATAACCTTCTGGGCTCAGATAAGGAGAGCTTGTAGACAACTGTTTCAGCCACATGAGGATCAGGAAGAGTGGCTCTGTGCTGCTGCGTGATGCTGCCATGAAAAATCCAAACCATGTATCGTTCTCAACCTAGGGCCTGCCTAAGAAGTCAAGCTGACAATTCACAACAGCCCGGAAAATAATAGCAATCGCAGGGACAGCTTGTTGGTAAGCTCTCAGAAGGCAGCTTGGATTTTTTTGCCTTAGAATGGACGCAGCGATAGCTTTGGGTTAGGTGTGTCAGGGAACTGGAATACTGCCTGCACTTCTTCAGTTACTTCTGAAGTACAAGAAGTTCAGGCCTGGCCTGTGCCTGTAACATGAAAATCTATAGACTTAGTTTTGATAGAGATACTTTTCAGTCAGCTAAATAGAGTGAAAATTCTTTCCAATCCCCAATACCATGAACTCAAGAAAATTAACGGTTCCAATACTGCAAGATAGCTGGCAACTCCTACAAGTTATTGAGCGTATCCAGTTCCCAGTGACTTTTATGGGGAGGCATTCAACACCTTGCAAAGTAAAGTGCCAAGTGTAGCAGACTGTTTCAGAACCGCTGTTCTCTAGAGGCATTCAATGTGACGAGCGCGCTTGCCAATTCACACTGCAAATCCATGCTGACAGCATGCTGTGCTATCTACTGCGTACCACCGTAGCTTCAAGTACAAATGTATTGACTCTGAATTACCTCTAATAGATAATAAGATCATGGATCTTTTCCACGGTCAAATGGAATGGCAACCACTCAGATCTAATCAGATGAACAAGCATTGCATACAAATCCTATCCTAAACTTCATTAGCATCTCTTTAAATTCATATTTGGGCTTTGTTGGATCACCATCATTGGTGTTTAATAAGAAGAAAATCCCCTGTAAACATGCCTGGTGCCCTATGCAATGATGGAAATGAATGCCCCAGCATTTCAATCAATGGCTTTTAATTTTTTGGATAAACTGGTTTTTTCTTTTGAATAAAGAGTCAAGCTGTTTCCTTTTGTGGAGCTTCTGTACTGAAAACTCTACCAACTGTTGATGTTTTTTAAAGCACACTGCTGTAGTTGTTCCCCACACTATGAATTATACATTGAATATCACAGCATTTTCTAACCAAGGTCTAGCTTTCTAACATGCTGCAACAAGAAAGTGAATGTAAAGAATTTGTGCTTGTCTGTCTCCTATGGACATCCTCCAGAAGACAGCTTCTCAGGCAACGGCTCGTTTTGCGCAAAAAGAAAGGCAGAAACTAGAAATGGCCTTTTTCCGTCGTGCATGTCACATTTTGTCCAGTAAAATGTCCCGCTTGGCTGACCAAAAGCACCCCCTCTGTTTTTACTCCCAAAGTACAAATAGCTTGTTTCTTACCAATGCTTCTTTTTCTGCGAATGGGCACAGGACGATTCTCTTGCACATGTTTAGCAGAATGAACACTGTAAGATCTCAAGTTTGTTTCTGAAACATCATCGTATCCTAAAACAGGAAACAAAATATTAAACCTCAGCTACGTTATTCGCATCATTGACTCGACAGTGCTGTCCCATACATATAAATCTGCGCTGTACGTACGCACAAGACCGAATCCTGCTGCAATTAGCCTAATGTAACTCCTGCCAACACAGTTGTAAGGGCATAAGGCAGGGAAGACACAGACGTTGAATGTCATGGATAAGCATGCACAATTCCAATACCCGTTTTACTGAAAGCTCCCACAAACAGTGCGCACTCTGTGACACACAACCGTATCTAAAGGAAAACAGTTGCATTTTTATGTGAAAGGCATAATAAAGCTTTTCTTACTGGAAAGGTGTAGAAATAAGAACAATAACATTTCACGTGAAATGTTTCTTGCAAGCACTTTTTCGAAGTTCTGGCATGAGGCTGCGGTAGAAAATATGGTATTACACACCCCACAGCAACAATGCTGCCTCTGTAACTTTTCTCTTGCTTGGTTTTCAGGGCAGTACCAGGACAGAATCAAAAGCAAGAAGTAACTAGCATGGGTTTCCTTTTAGCCTCTCTGTTGCAGAACAAATCCCCTGTGAAGTATCCTAACCTTTGGAGGGGCATCTGAAGCTACTGCAAACTCTGGGACTGCATCCAGGCTTGTCTTGTTCCCTAAATAAGCCTACCACATGGGTTAAAGGGCCATGAGAAAAAGCAAAGATGGAAAACTTGGCATTTCATTTATCACAAAAAAACAACAAAATAACTGCTCCAGCTATTTGGTTTTGTTAAGTGAAGCAGTCCAGGTCGTGTCCCATGCAGTGGGGTTCTGAAAACGACAAGCACAATCTGCAAACAGGGGATCAGGAAGTTGTAAGCAAACCGAGGACCGCATACGGATTCCAGCACACCAAAACTAAGGTTTTCAGCACTCTGCTGCTTGGAGTGCCCTCCATAGCATCACTGGAGAGTTTCAAGGTTTCACTGCTGGCTCCAAAGAAAACTGTGATGTACACTCAAAAATGTAAATGGTTATTACCAGCACTCAATTACCCTCTCTGCATGCTACCAACATCCTGCACTCCTCTGTCTTCTGCACTGTCACGCTCCCCGCTTCCAGCTTGTTTTGCATCCATAGTTTGCTGTGACTCTGGAACTTGTTTTATTCTCAGCTTTACTAGTAATGCACATCATAAGGGTCTGCTCTACAGCTCCTTTTCTCCTCCCTCCCTGCCCTAAAGAGCATGCAGCTGGTGAAATCACCTGCAGAACCTGGTAAGACATGAAGTCAGTGGTATCTTCAGCACCTTAGAAAGAGCTCTGTCTTAGAAAGCCTCAACATCTATCTTTGCTCCTTGGAAAATACTGTCGTAAGTAGCTAAGAGAAGATGAAGTGCGAGGTCTGAGAGGCAGTGCCAGGATCACCCACTGGTCCTGTCTATTTACCTAATCAGCTGAGCAGATCCTTGTCTGAGATAAGCCAGTGTGAAATCCAGACTCTCCATTTACCCAAAAAAGTTGGCTCCTACTTCCTAAGTAGAGTGCTTGTTTCCCATTGATTTCAGGGGAAATTTTGGGACCTGATTAGCTGATAGTGGTCCTTATTTGTGGTTCCGGTCCTGTAATGTAACACAGCGATGACTAATAGATTATATTTCTGCTTTTATTTACCCCATACCCCAGAAGACTCATCTGGTGGGGTAAATAAAACGGCTTGCCTGAGATCCCACAGGAAGCTTGCGACTGAGCTGGGGAGCGGAGCCAGGTCTCCTACATCCCATTCCAATGGCACCAGGCCATCCACCTGACCCCAAAGGGTGTTATGCAAAATGAGGATCCGTTCTGATGTTCCTCCAGCCTTCTTCCGCTTCCTCACGCCCAGCCACCCAACATCTCAATACTGACCTCCTTGCCGGCCACTTGGAGTTGTGACAAGCTCTCCCTCAATTTGAGGCAACGAAGTGATACTCAAAAGAAAGCAGCATGAATTCTGCTCAGTGTAAGATCCAAGCCAGGCTCAGAGCAAGAAGCGTCTCTGTCCGCATGCGAACAGTGCTTAAAAAAGATTAAACACCAAACTAATGCCTCTAATCCGAACTGCTTGGTGGGCACAGACATCTTGCTGAAAAGAGAAACCGCCGATGGTGCCAGCTGTACGGCAGGCCCGAGCCACAGGTCCTAATCCCACATTCAACACGCTGGCATAGCTCCCTTCTAACATGACTGATTTCTTGCTGTCTTGTTTAAAGAAACTGGTAAGACTAAAGGAATAGTATGATCAGCTAACCAATATGTTAAGCCATGTGCTTATATATAACTGCTCAACTCAGCTGCAATTAGCCATATTCTATCATCGTGTTTATAAAGCAAAATGACATGTCGAGGAGCATGTGTTGCTTAGAAGATGATTTCTAAGGTGAAGAAGGCCTCTGGCTCATACTGTATCTCACTGTCTCGCTACATATCTTAGGCATGTATATCATTTCGTAAGTTCATGTCTCACTGTGGGGGTTAAAAAAAGAGATCTACACAGCTAGCAGAGCAGACTGCAAAACAAGTTCCAGTCAAACCTCCATGTGTTATGCAACACAAATTGTATTATTTCTATGGACACGGCACCAATGTGGTTTTTTTTTTAATAAACAGAATTATGGAGCACATGGCTGCTGCCAGAAGGCACTATAATGCTAAAGGCACTCGGTGTCCCCCTGACCCCCACAGGCATTTGGAAGGAATTCCATTTCCCAGTGAAGTCAATGGGAAAATTGCTGCACTTCAAGCCACATTTAAGTCAACAGGACTGAAAAATCAGAAAATCAGCTTTGAAACCCACACTGGACTCTGGATGTGTGGCCAGAAGACTTCCCTTTATTTCATTAAAACAAGGATGCTACGGTAATCACAAATAGCACTCTCTAGTTTGACTTTAAAGAAGGCTGATAGCTAATTTGCTAGCTAATCTGGCAAAAGGATTGCCAAATGAATCACGCCAGAATTTGCACCCATTTTTCTCCCCAATGTACTGACTTAGGCACATGAAGTTGCAGGATAAGGTGTTTCAGCCCTTAGCAAAGGAAATGGGAGTTTATGGGCTTGGCACCTCACAAAATGAGGCTTAGAGCAGAAAGCTTAGAAACGGTGGTTCTCAGTTTAGAAATTGAACACTGCTTGTCACTAAGTGAAGATGGAGGATGCTGTACGGAGCCAGATTAATGCAGCTCTCTTAACGTTTTAATAATAAAAAAAAATGTTTTCATGGCAGCCGATCAAGAAATTTCTCTGTAATCTTTCACGTACTGACAACATATCAATGATGGGTAGAAAAACTCTTGCAATTAGCCTTGGTCAATCCATTAATGTAGTTGAAATTGTTCTTTTTTGTCAAACTGGCATTTTTCCACTGGGTCGTGGAATACGAATCACAGAGTCCCTGTGACATTCTGCCAACATGTGATTACTCCACTCCCTAAATAAGCATGTGGAAAGTATCCCAAGACTACTGTTATTTTATATTTATCAATTTATACTATCGCATCGCCACCTCCTTCCCAATTCATGTGAGGTACAATCTCCAATATATGCAGTCTTAACACCAACCCTTCTAGATGTCACTTTGATGTGCATCCAAAAAGTACAGGCCCAAGACTTCCAGTACCAACAGCAGCAGCTTAGGAAATTCTCATTATCTCTCTCTTTTTTTTTTTTTCAGGAATTCAGTGTAAGGTACAATAAACCGAAATGGTCTGTCTTACAAATCGGTCCTAGAGCCAGAAAGCCCAAGGCAACGTCAATCTGTTTGTTTGATCTTCTTTCTGGCTGATGCAAAGTATGCCCTTCTGACATCCAACTGCAGAGATAGATGTCATTAAGTTTTCAACTTTGATCTATTAAGGGAAATATAAGTAGCAGCCTGCAAGATCCTGTTTTGTTTAGGTTTTTTTGCCTCTACCTAGATGTGATCAGCCAGCTGTAAAGGAGGAGGAGTGGTGCCTCTATCTGTCTCAGGGAAAAGCCGGGACACACACATGGCAGATGCCCACCTCCCGTCATGTTTGAGGTGCAAGGAAAGCTAACACACCGCGTTGTCACATCCTTCGTTTGAGCGCCACACCAAAAGCCACAAAGTCAACAGGAGATTTTCCAATAGATTGAGCTCTGCAGCAATCTTCACGCTTCTCCATGAAAGTACACTGTTCATTTAGAACGTTTCTCCACTTAACAAAAGCCGCTCTGCTAGTTCTTAATCACAGGCCGTTGAATTCACATGGCCTAAGGTGACCCTGTGGTCGATGCCCTTAAACCATGCAAAGAAGCAGGCTCAGCCCCGCGTTTCCCCACGCAGGGAGATGACTGGGGGAAAATCTGTTCCCAGCGGGAGGCAAACATAATAGGTGATGAAATGAACTCTCCCTCCCACAGGACAGATGGGAGAGGTGAAGCTCGAGGAGAAAAAACCGCGCTGCTAAGCCAGCGAGAACTTCACAGGCGGAATATAGGAAGTGCCCCCGTTTCAGTGATTTAGTCTGTTAGTAGTAAAACTGTACTCTGCACGCTACCGCTGCCTACTTCCTGGGATCACGCGTGCTTTCTGTCTCAAACAGGGTCAGACTCCGCTCCCCGTCACGCCGACGACACTCCGTCGCTGCCTATGGATCCCAATCACAGCAAATTAATAAAAGACCCTGTTTTCTGATATAAACAGCGAATTGTCGTGTTGCCTTTACAGGGATTTCTCTTTGAATCGGACATGTGGCACTGGGCTCTGACAAATTGGCCTGGATTTTCTTTTTTGAATACAATGATAAGCTCCATGTTGGGTAGTGTTTTTCTTTAAGTAATATGCCAGATGGTCTGGGGGTGTGGTTTCTAATTTTATGAAGGGGGTTATCAGTCATCTCTGCGCTACAATATAGAGACCAAATCTGTCAGAATAAAAGAAAAACCTGCCCACTCTGACTTACAAAACTTACTTTTCCAATTAAAAATATGTGCTTTGCATTGCAGGAGAGAAAACGACTGATCTTCCCTCATTTTCCACAGATTCTGCCTTGTTACTCAGGAATATGCGACATTTTCTGCGTGCACGCCTGATCCTGCAAACTCTTCCCCTACAAGATCATTCTTAATTCTCGAGTCCACCCACTGAGTTTAAACAGGGCTACTCACATGCAGAAGGACTGGCAATACCTTGCACTAAAATGAGGGAGAAAATAATCACTGGAGTGTTTTTATCCTGGGCCTCAGTTTAAATCAGTACACGCTATAAAACCAGAACTATATCCACTGCACAAGCCCTCAGTGAACCAGCCCTTCCCTGAATGCAACGACAGCCCTAAGGAAATACATTTCAGAAATGCCATCTTACCCGGTGACAACTAGAAAACATTTGATTTGCTAATCCAAGGCAATAGTAAATATCGTAAGCAGGCCCGATCCTGCTTACTGAAGAAAACCTGGTAATTCCAGTGTTTGATTAGTCACTCTGATAAACCCTTGAGAAGAATTACTCATAACAGTGAAGACCGCAGGCCTGTGCCCAGAAAATGTAAGTGCGGGTAGTAAAGACTGGCTACTCTCTATGAAGATCCAATCCTGCCCGTGTAGCTCAGAAACGGAGCACACAAGCAAGAACGGGGTGAAAGGCTGAATATTCGGGGCTTTTTTTTTAATATTGTTTGCGTTCATGTCTTAAGGCATCACTGTTCCATGTTGAAATAATAAAATATTTATGTGTCTTGTCTCTCTCATGGTTTCTAAACTGAGAAATTGCACGAAAACAGCAAAACGGAATGCTAAACTTGTGGCTGACCTCTTCAGTTTTTGGCCATGCGTACTCTGGTTAATCTTTGCCACCAGTTAAATAATTATTTTCTGAAATAAATTTCTCTCCTCTGACACATCCACTAATTTATTCAGCTCCCGCCGTTGCTCCACTTCCCTGCTTGATTCTCTTGCAATGGAGCCATGTGAACTTTTGCTCTCCTTGCAAGTGGTATTTAAAAACGAAGCGTGTGCTTGTTACACTGGGGTATTTGGAAAAAAAATAATGGATGCTGGTAGCGACAGCACACTGCCTCAACCGCGGCAGCAGCATGCAGTATTTTAAAATGCTAGCGCTCAGACCCAGCCCTTCTGCAACAGCAGCCAAGCCTTCCACCGAGTTCACTGGGAAAAAGATTTTAGCAGCAGTGCACTTGTCTGGTCCAAAACAGCCTTCAGTGGGGAAATAGGTATTGCATCCCCCTTCCCTGTTGTGAAAGCTGCCTTCATTGCAGTGACAAGCAACAACGACGAAGCACTGCTCTCCAAAAACATTAAGCCGATGCCAACAAATCTGGTAGTTAGTAATTAGCCTCTATGGTAAAGTCTTGTGCAAGAGAGAAATATTGCCGTTTTCAGTGTAATGGGAAACCGTGTGCTCCCTAATCACACGA